TTTTGGTATGAGTAAATCACATTTAATAATTCTTATTTTTTAAAAACAGACCCTAGCATATGGCGATATGAACCATGAGTGGATTGGCAATGAGTGGCTCCCCAGTTTGGGGCTCCCTCAATATCGCAGTTACTTCATGGAATGTCTTGTTGATGCTAGAATGCTAGATCATTTGACTAAGAAAGATCTCCGGGGACAACTTAAGATGGTAGACAGTTTTCACAGGTAAATACACTCAAGGCAATCTTCATAATATTCTTTTTAAAGTATTCTAGCTTGTTATCCCTAAATATGTTTTTCTTTTTAAACAGAAACAGTTTCCAGTGTGGTATAATGTGTTTACGAAAATTAAATTATGACCGAAAAGAACTTGAAAGAAGAAGAGAAGAAAGCCAGAATGAAATAAAAGGTTAACTATTTCTGCTTGGCTTCACTTTAGATTTTAAAATCTTCACAGTAAGATGCCTCAAAATTGCATTACTTTAAAGTGAAAGGTTTATTTCATGGTGTCACAGAAGTGCCATATGCAAGAGACCTGTTAGTAGGGCCCTGTATAGTCGTCAAATCCCTGGCTACAGGATATGTCATAGAACCCACTGTAGAACAATTGTGCTGTGTAATGAGCTTTTATTTAATTTTTTTCTAGCCCTTAGTTCTGAAGAAAATTTTCCAAGTATGAATGAAATAGTTTGTTTTATTTAAGAAGACATCTCTGAGTAGACAGCTGTCTCAATTTTTTCAGTACCTCTAAAGACTATAGTTATCTGATAGTTTGTGAATATTAACCATTTTGTTAGTATTTTTGTGTGTGTGAAAAAGTCAAGTTAATTTGTGTTTAATATGTGGATACTGAATAGGGAATGGAGATAGTGGAGAAGCAAGAGTAGGAATTCAGGCCGTCATCTTTCTGCCTGTATTCCCAAGGGAAAAGAAAGATCAAGTGTAAGTAGTGAGCTATGGGGAACATTTTTAAAGATTTGAAATAACCCATCAATATATGGAATTGCCCCTGCTCTCCAAGAATAGGAATGACCAGCCATTAAAGGAGTTTATGGGATGAAAAGTTCTCTGCCCATGCAAGTGCCAGGCTAAAAGTAAAGTCAATGCAGTCTGAGGATTACACCGACTACTCCATCCATATTTCCCCAGAGGCAGGGAAGAGGCTGGGCTGTATCCCCCACTTCTTCACATTCACCCATAAAGCAGAACAGGGTGCTGTACCACTGAGCACCGTCTCTCTTTGCTCTGTGGAGCACAAGTAATTTCGTGCTGTCAGTACAAAACATCTATTATATATTGAAAATAAAATAAATATAAAATTAAATAACCTTAAATATTTGATACATATTTAAAGCAGATTTATTGGTTCCATATCACCAGCTGCTTTGGCCTATGCCTAAACCCCTAAATGATACAGCTGAGCCCCGTGCCAACATAATATAGAAGAGCAAGAACAACATAAGAACGGCCATACTTCATCAGACCAAAAGTCCATCTAGCCCAGTATCCTGTCTGCCAACAGTGGCCAATACCAGATGCCCCAGAGGTAGGGAACACAACAGGTAATCCTCACGTGATCCCTCACCTGTCACCCACCTCCAGAGAAACAGAGGTTAGGGACACCATTCTTACCCATCCTGGCTAATAGCCATTGATGGACCTAATCTCCTTGAATCTATCTAGCTCTTTTTTGAACACTGTTAAAATTCTAGCCTCCACCGCATCCTCTGTCTGGCAAGGAGTTCCACAGTTTTGACTGTGCTGAAATCTGTAGTTATTTGAATAGATATTTTGTTATGAAGTTTTATATAGCATATTTGTTTTTTTTTCTCTTTTAGATGTTCTTGTCTGGAGCAATGACAGAATGATCCGCTGGGTACTGTCAGTTGGTCTTAAAGAATATGCAAATAACCTTATAGAAAGTGGAGTTCATGGTGCACTTGTGGCCTTAGAAGAAACTTTTGATTTCAGTGCTTTAGCTCTATTATTACAAATACCTACTCAAAACACGCAGGTAATAACTATAATAACTGCATGTCTAATGATTTTTCTTAGCCATTTTAATAAACTCATAGTATCTAATTTTTGGTAACCATGTAGTTGTCATAGTCAATTGTAAAAATTTTAAAAATTAAGTTATCTATAGTGTGTTTTCTATCATAGACTTGAAAACATACCACAAAAAACCTTATCTTTTCCATAAGTTCTAACGCGTTCTAATTAATTTATTTGTCTTTTAGTTTGTTTTCTCACAGCCCATTTTCTCCCTGAATTGGCCTATCCTTTATTTGTCTCTGGTAATACCCAGAGTGCTCTGTAAATACAAAGAAAAATCACCGTTTTCACTGTGAAGTCATTAACTTTGAGTTTTACATCATTAATTTACATAACTCGTGTAAGGTTATAACTGGATTGAAATCCCTTTTTAAATGTGTTATTGCAACTTAGCAAGTACTAAATCAATGCTATATTATGTGTTACCATATAGTCATTTTAGAATGTGTACATAGGAAATAGTTTTTTAAATTTACTATCAAATCTTGTGGTTTGTTAGCCTTTTTGAGACTCTTTGATGCCTCTTTTTATTTTAGGCTCGTGCTGTTTTGGAGAGGGAATTTAATAACCTTCTTGTTATGGGCACTGACAGGAGATTTGATGAAGTGAGTTTTGATTTGTTTCGCTTTGCATTAAGTAGAATCTGTGTTCAACCTATTAAAATACAAGAATTTGGATTGGATAAGTCTCTTTAAACAATTACTATACAGAGAATAGTTTTTAAAGTGAAATCTTAACTTGTGTTTTCTTATCTTTGTGAGTTACTGTATGTATTTTTTGGGTATTTAGACAGTATTATTCTGATCCTTAACTTGTGAGGTACTCAGCAAATTTGGGTTTCCTAGACCATGTAACCAGAGTTAGTGCTAGAAAATGCCTTTTTGTCTGAATCATCTGTCTTCCTAAAATGTAAAGAAGTGAGGAACTCTACTGACATACACTTAACAAGGTATAATTTACATAGGTGTTGTGTAAGCTTTCACCACGTAGCTCTGCCAGTGTACCTTAGCCCTAATCTGCAGCACTCCTATTCTAATTCTGGACCTCTCTTGAGTAGGTAGTTGGCTTTATAAGTTGTAAAATGTAATTCTAAGATAAAATCTCCAAATTCTCATATACTTTTGTATTCCTGTCCAATGTATGAATTGAATGCCATTTTTAAAGGACATCCTAAGATAGATAGGATGTTCTTAAGTAATATAGGTGAAAATGGTGTGTTTCAATGCTGCTCATTACTCAAATGTTTTAAATAAGTCTTGCTGTATCATGCTAATGTAGTTATTTGTATTAAGAAGTGATGCTTTGCATAACACTTGTATTTTCAGGTGCTTATAAAACATGGACCTAGAGTAGAATGCCATAGTTGTTAAATGAAAAGTTAAAAGTAATATTATGGAAGCGGAAATAAAACTAAAACTAGTAGCAATAATAGGCAGGCATGAAGCTGGAGATTAAAGACAAATTTAAGGTGGTTGGTTTTTTTTTCCCCCCCAAGTGGCATCACTGGGCTATTAAGTATTGAAGAGTATGTGTTGATTTGAACATCTCTATTGCTGATGTGCTATGATGTATAGTGCAAAGTGCATTCTGTAGGCAAGAGAGCAGACAAGAATGTAGATTTGTTGATGTACTGTGGTGAAGAAAGAACACGTGTACTTTTTATTATGGAACTTCTTATACCGTAACTGAACTTATGAAGTGGTTTTATGAACATTTAAAACCTCTCAGAGTAAATAATTTCCTCAGTTCACATGTAACAATATTTAGCTAACACTCTTATCAAAAGAAATAGGATGATGATCTGATGACTTTCAGTGAAGAAATGCATGACTTTAGAGTTAGGAAGAAAAAGTTACTTCAAGAAGAGAGCTAGTCACAGAGAAACGACATTTTATTGCTCACTGTGGCTTTTAGTATTCTTTTTTCTAGTCCTATTTTTAGCAAGTGGGATCAATTTAATTTTTATCTAAATAGTTCAGCATCGCCAATCTGTAAATTGCTTTTTTTCTAGTACCCAGCACTTTAGAGTAACTTATGACTTGCCTTTTTTTATTTTACTAGAGTGGTAATGGGTGAAACTGGAACTTTCTGATGCCTTTATAAAGAACAATTTAAAGGAAACTTTCTTCTTTTTAAGGCTGTGCCCCATGCCATTCCTTTTTCCGAAGTCCACTGTGTGTGTGTGTGTGTGTGTGTGTGTGTGTGTGTGTGTGTTGTGCGCGCGCGTGCGCCCCTCCTTTTAATCCCAGATATCCAATCTATATACTGTTGTAAGGCTGTTGCCTTTTTAGTTATCAAGTGCACCCCATATTGTTAGGCAGTGCTTGTCAGATCTTGTAAGTAGGATAATATCTGTTTTATACTTTGGATACGACCTTAATGGAAAGCCTCAAGTGTTACAGTAGCGGTAAAGGCATTTCAGTAAGTGACACTGTTTCAGTATTTAACTGATGACTCCTCACAGTGTTAGGGACACTGGCGATGAAGGTGTTAACTTTCTTCTGGAAAATGAAGACCTAGAATCTTTCCACTTACAGTTAATAGAGAGATGGCACTTTTTGAAAGTAGTGCAGTTGAACCCCAATTTCCTGTCCAAATTCAAACTTGTATAATAGCCTCTCCCTATACATATAAAAAAAAATTTCCTGCAGGATGACAGAGTGACTTCATCACATCACAGCGTTCACAGGCTGGGGGGTAGGCATAGGTGGGTAAAGCCCAGTTCCCAGCCCTGCCCTTGGAGCCCACTACCAGCCCTGCCCTCTTTGGCAGCCACGTAGAGAGCCAGGGCTGGTGTGCCAAAGCCTCGGCCTTCCCTGGCCGCCAGGGCAGAACCAGGGCTGGTGCACCTCAGCCTGGCCCTCCCCAGATGTAAGGGGCGGAGCTGGGGCTGGTACATCTCAAGCCAGGGAGAGGGAGAGCCAGTGCTGGTGGCTCTTCCAGTCAAGGAGAGGGAGATCAGGGGCCGGGGCTGGTGTGGTTTTCCCCGGTGGCTGGGAGGAGACCTGGGGTTGCCTACCCCCAGAGAGAGGGGGGTTTGTGAGCAGGTGGCACAGCCCCCAGCATATTGTATAATCATGCAGAATGTCCTGCTAGAAATGGCTACATGTAACCAGTAGGCTGGTCATACTTTTTTAATCTTTCTGGCAAGCTGGCATAATTCATAGTGAAAGGATCATGTCAAAATTTATTTCTTCCTCCTGTTACTTAGACATATTTAAAGTACATTCCAAAAGACACATTAATAAATTCTTTTAATTAATTAAATTGAAGAATTCATTTTTTGAGATTTTTGTGGTACACTTCTAAGGCTTAGTCTATACTTTATGCCTCCAGTGGCAGTGTGCAGTATACATGTAGTTTCATACCACAGCCAAAAACAGGCTGAGACCATGCTTTGATATATAGCCACATGTCCATAAAAGGCTCTGGCAATGAGGCTTTCCCACCTTGCCTCTCCCCTGCAAGAACCTTTACCTTTGATGTGGAAATATGGGGAGCTGCTGGAATCTTTTCTGTGGCAAAGAAAGACTTGGTAGGGAGAGGCAGGAAAAGGGGGAGCTGTTCCCAGTTTCTTCCTCTTGTCAGAGCCTTCTCCTGGCTCAGGGCATCTCTTCCTGCAGAGGTCAAAAGCTCCTGCAGGAGGACGCTACATTATTAAAAATAGCAGTGTAGATGAGGTGTGGCTTGGGTGAGCATAAAGCATTTAGAGTATGTACTTGCATACATGCCCACACTATAAAAGTACATCTTTATTCTGGTTGCTTTAGCTAAGCCATACCAGCTATTCTCTCCTAGGAGGACTGTGCAGATATATATTCTACATGCCATCTAAAGAAATCTGTAAAATACTTGCGAGGAGAAAGGGAACATATAATAGTCATAAGAAAGCTTTGTGCTGTCTTATCTAGTGCAGCTTCGGGGCCTCTACCATAATTTAGACAACACCTGGGGGGGGGGTGAGGTGGTGTCTGTCTAACTTGCTTCTGCAAGCTTTACTGTAGGCTGCTCCACTGCCTAGTTGGAATCTCTGCCATGCTCTGTGATGAGTCCCCACCCTAACATGCCCCTCCTAGCCTTAATTTACCCAGTAAGCTACAGCTTGAGAGGAGTCACAGGAAAGCACCTTTACTGTCTTCCATGGTAACTACCACAAAATCTTCCCACATTATAAAAAGAGCATTTATAACACTTTTATGCCACTCTGGCCTTTTTTTCTGCAGCAGCACCTGGGACAGAGCATGTAGGGATCTTGCCTTAGGGATTGACATTTGCATCCATGTAACTATAAAGCCAAAAGAAATTGAGTTAAATATTTTTAGATAAAAATTAACATTTAACCAGATTAGTTATAGAGGGGTGTGATAATATAAACAAAATACACTATTTTTCCTACTGAATATTGTATTTCACAGCCAAGGCTCCAGCTGTCATGTTAGTATGTCCAGTGTTACTCTTGTGAATTAAAAAACATAATTTCTTAAACTAGGGACTGGAAGGGAAAGGGAAATAGTTCAATTTGTGGATGTGCTCTGATCCCCATATCCCTGTGCAAAGGTTCTAAATCACTTAAAAATGAAACACAATACAGAGGTTAGAGAGGTACTGTAGTACTATTAAGGTTTTATATTCATTTCATTCATTAGTCAGTCCTTTCCTCTAATATTAGTGTCCTTGTGCTATATTTCAATATAGATATTCCAGCAAAAGAAGAATTTAAGAGGCCAAAGGGGTTATTTAAAGTTAATTTATAATTGATGGTTAATGTTCCCAAAACAGATGTGTTCTTGTTTTCTCTTACAGTGAGAAGTAAATGGAAGAGGTATTAGATAATATGGCATTTGTGAATTATCTTAAATCCTAAATTGCAAATATACACTAACGTGCATTTTAATTAAAGATAGGAAGCCACATCAGTTTTTCCCGAGAAATACTAAGCACCTTGACATCTACAGACTCTTGGGGTGTATCTAGACTACCTAGTTTTGTCGACAAAAGTGGACTTTTGTCGACAAAACTATACCAGCGTCTACACTACCGCTGAGTTCTGTCGACATAACGTCGACAGAACTCAGCAGTTTTGTCAACGCTGGTATACCTCATTTTACGAGGCATAACACCTTATGTCGACAGAACTCTGTCGACAGAAGGTGTTATTGCCTGTAACATTGTGTCCAGACTACGGAGTTCTGTCGACAAAGCAACTTGCTTTGTCGACAGAACTCAATGTGTCTGGACGCTCTTTGTCGACGAAAGTTTTGTCGACAGTATCTGTAGACAAAACTTCCGTCGACAAAACGCGGTAGTCTAGACATACCCTTGGAGTTGTGGGGGAAGATATTGACACTACCAGGGGTGAAAGTAACTTACATTTCTTACAGGTACTATCCTATCACAACCACCGCCCTCCCCTTTGGTGGGGCTAGCGGCGGGGAGATGTGGCCATACAGCAGTATCTGTAAGAAATGTAGGTGTGGGGTGGAGTGCAAGGTGCTCAGAGCAGAGGGTTTGGATGTGTTGTGGGATACAGGCATTAGGGCTGGGTACGTGATATGCAGGAGTCAAAGCTGAGGTATATGAGAGACTCGGGTAGAGATATATCAGGAGGGGAACAGGGCAGAGGGTTGTGGTGTGGGGGAGTGCAGAAGTCAAGGTTGGGATATATGAGGAGGGAGCTCAGGGCAGGGGGTACGAAGAGAGGGACAGGACAGGGACTGGGTGAGTGCAGTGGGTAAGGTTCCCATTTCAGAGATGGGGGGAGGAGGAGCTGCAGCCCCATTTATCCATCACTGAGTGGCTTTTTTTTCTTCTTTTTGATGACTAGGAAGTGAGGCAAAGTACACAGCCTGTGTCTTCCTTCTGCCCTCCCCTGGACAGCCAGGAGTGGGAGTAGGCTGTGAACTTTTCCTCGTTCCCTAGTCAGCAGAAAGGGGAAAAAAAAAACCATTCAGCCACTGGGGTAAGTGTGGCTGCAGCTCCCCCCCACCCCCTAAAACTGTGGCAGGAGGCTCCAGACAGCCCCCTACCAGCCCCTCTAATCTGCCAGGCTGCCTGCTTCTAGCATGGCAGCCTGCAGGAAGCCAGGAGTTGGGCTGGGAGTGTCCCGCCCATCCTCTTGCAGCTAAGTAACCTAGTCAGCTAGTTTCTTGCTGGAGCACCTCACCAGGGTGCACCAGCTTACGTTCACCCTGGACTGCTCTAAATTTAATTTATGGCAAGTAATCCTGTTTTTAGAATTACTAATGATGCTGATCAATCTGACAGGATGATGATAAAAGCTTTAGACGAGCACCTTCGTGGAGAAAGAAGTTTAGACCAAAGGACATAAGAGGCTTAGCTGCTGGATCTGCAGAGACTCTTCCTGCAAACTTCAGAGTTACCTCCTCAATGTCTTCACCTTCTATGCAGCCAAAGAAGATGCAAATTGATGGTACGCAAACTTACGTTGCAGTTTTATAAGCATGAACTTTTTTACTTGAGCTTATAGCTAAATTAAGTACCTACAGTTTGAACTTGTCTAGCCCAGCACCCTGGGGACCTGACAGGTGCCAAACCAGAGAATTAACCAAACCAAGGGAGGTTCGGCCAATTCTCAGCATTACCAACATTTCAGCTGCTAATGGGCTCTTAGCTCTAATTAATCCCTAAATGTATTCTGAATAACAGCACAGAATACTGAGATAGGATTGGTGGTTGTAAAACTTTATGGGACCACAGGAAACTTGGCCAAACCCAAGATAAGTGGACATTTGGCTAACTAAAATCATACTGGACCATGGATGTTGCCAGACTAGAGGTTCAACCTGTAGAATCTTTTTCTCTTAATCTGCATAAAAGCATCTGCCTTGTGCATGTTACTTTTGAAATACAAAATTTTATACACATAGGTTTATTTTTGTCATAACTTGTGTGTGAGCTTTCTACCAGACATGTAGTTCATTTTCAGTTTTATTGTTCTCTGGGAAAAGATTAAATCTTTGTATTAGGAAATACTTTGTTTCTGTATTTGTGACTATGGAAATAAGATGGCATTCCACTAAAACTTAGTGATATTTTCTTATATTGTAAAAAGGGGGCAATAGCTGTATATTTCTAATTTAGTATTAATAAGAGCACAAGTAAAGCCTAAATGTAAGGCAGTGCAGTAATGTGCATTGATAAGCTTTACTGGAAAACAAAAATAAAAGTAGGAAATTTCATCTAAAAAAATCCTTGAGGCTTTTTATACATCATAATGTAGTAGTAAAAGTCACTAAGTTTTTTTTGGTTTGGGTTTGTTTTTTTGCTTTATCAATCACTTAATGTATCTTACAAATGCATTCAGTACTTAAGTTACAATACAGTTTTCCCGCTGGTGTGGACTTTAGAAAGAACCATGTGTATATGCTTGAGAGCAGAATTTGGCCAGATAATAAAAAAAAAATTAAAAATATGATTTTTGTCAGTATGGTAAGCTTTCTGTTTGATTTTGGTTTTATAATGCCCAGATAAAAACCAGTGCTTGCCAAATGGAAATTTTCATTTGTGATGGAATTTACTAGACAATTAATTTGAGAAATTCCTTTGTTCCAATTTGGACCAACTTGGTGGTGTACCTATTCATTTTAAACATTTTAACTAAATAAATGAAGTTTGAGAAACATGTCTATATTACACATAAATATTAAGAATGTTAATGGGATAATTAAAATTGTAAATATTACTCTGTGTAAAATATCCAGTCCAGAAATTCTCTGCACCATAAAATGTTTAATTTGATTTAAATACAAAATATTACACGTACACATTCTAAAAATTCAAGTTTTCTTCTCCATGTGCAAAAGCTGAGAGAAATCTTATAAAGAAGAATGTTAATAGTCAGCGTTTGACAAACCCCGGCGAGAGCTACTCACCAGCCATGCACCATGCATGCACCAGACCGTCACTGCACGTGCGCGCAGTGCCAGTGAACGGGGCGCATGGAGCGACCGACTGAAATCTGGTGAACGGGGCGCATGGAGCGACCGGCTGAAATCTACTCACCCCAGACGAGTAGATTCAGCGGTTTGTCCAGCCCTGTTAATAGTTGTACTTCTAGAAACAATGATTCACTTCTGTCTTTTACAGTTCTCTAGCTTGAATGAGTATTGTTTTATTAGGAACTTTTTGATAAACTAAGCACTGAAATTGGAACTAGGAAATAGATGAATTTAAGGAGATTTTAAATTCTGCCTTCCTAATTTGTTGTACCTTTAGTCGAGCATGTACAATAGCTGTAATCATATTGCTGTGTGACTTTTTTTTTTGAAGACTAACTGCATGCTGTGTTCTGCATGTCTTCCTTCTATGATTGTTGAAACAGGCAATGTATCAGGAACACAAAGACTGGATTCCAGTACAGTAAGGACTTACTCCTGTTAAAGGCGTCTGTTGGTGAGTAAGAAAAGATAGGTATAGCAGGAAAACAGGCCACTTTGTAGAATATACATTTTAAAATTTATACCAAATCCAAAAAATTAATATCTAAATGTAAAAAAGAGAAAGCCAATCAGTTTAAAATAGAAATATTGCATTGAGAATGTTAAGGTGGTTTCTTATCGCTAACACTATCAACTTTTACATAATATTATCCTAATTTTAAAGTTAGTTTGCATTTGCAAAGGAAAATAATTGGTAAATTGGATATTTTATTGTCTTTATGCTAGAAATTCAGGCCTTATCTACTTTGGTATTCTTTGAGGACATTGCAGGGTCAGCTGCTTTTATCTGTTCTTAGGTGGAATCCCACAATTCTCCCACTCTTAAGACAGCCTAGTGCTATAGCATGCTTGTACCAACCACAGTTCCTTGACAGGTCTGACTAGGTTTGGCTACCTGTGGTGGTTCTTAAGGAGTAATCCTGTTGGTGCTTCACCTTAGGCAGTTGTGCACTCCTGTGCTTATAACTGGAAATTTGTAGTAGCAGTGTCTGTTTAGGTGGCACATACACTTTCCCTTTGTTGTGCTGCTTCACTGTGCAACCAATCCTTCCCACACCAGCTCCTCCTCTACTGCCCTCTGACAGAGAATATTTAGCAGTGCTTCTATTCTTTTAGAATAGTTACTTTAGTTATTTAGGGTAGTGATGGGTCTGTTACCCTCTGTGAGAGAGGGAAAATTCCTTTTTTTTTTTTATGCAAAGACTGTTCTAGCAGATTGGGCGGAGGATGATTCTAAGGACATGAAGGTGATTCATCAACAATGCTGTGGGAAACAGAAAAAATGACAAAGCACTGGAAGATGTCTTGGTCACCCATTGCAGCTAAGGAAATACCTAGTCATAATTCTTTGTCCTGCTGGAATCTGGCTTCCATCCCCAAGACATTGGGTCTGCCTATGTCCAATGGCTTTCTCACTTAAAAAAACTTGTCGCACAGATTTTCTTACAACTCTCATCCCATTAACATCTTATCAGATCTCACCATCATTATATCATTAATCCAAATCCTGCAGCAATGGGGATGTGGTGAAGAGTGGAGATGACCACTGACAGTTGTAGCCATAATCAGTGTTCCCTCTAAGCTGCAGGGCAGCACAACTTTACAGGTGCTTTATCAGCCCTGCCCAGGCAGTCAGCTCTTGCATGGAGCCCTGAACTGGGCGGGTCTGATTGCATCAGCACAGCTTCATGGGTGATTAGATGGAGCCCTGAACCTCTGACTGGGCGGGTCTGATTGCATCAGCACAGCTTCATGGGTGATTACAGTTTAGATGGAACACTGGCCATAATCCTGCAGAGAACCATCTTTTGGACTAGTGGCCATTCAGCTCCATCCCTGGGGCAGTAGAGAAGTTTTGCAGCATTGTAGGTAACTGTGTATTTTGTTGTTAGGATAACCCTTCTCACCCTATTTTGTTGTTAGGATAACCCTTCTATTCCTTTTCACCAAAGGAAAAGGAATAGAAAAGGTACCCTAAACACTGTCGGCTTCATAGCATTTGACCAGACTACCATAGCTGGCAGATTATCCTACAGCACTGAAAAAACAATAAAGAGGAGAAGACTCATTTCAGGAGCCTGGAATGTCTACACAATTATGGTTCAAGGTGATACACAAAGGCCTGAGAGAAGAACAGCTCTTGTTTCTGTAGAACTTGCTGCAATGTCAGAATTACCAAACCCATGTGTGGTGCAGAATGCTGGGCAGGCCACAGATTGGTAATAGCAGTGCTTAAACTGCATATAGTCCCTTCACAGTGCACAGGCCCCAAACTTAATAGAACAGACTTCAACAGAGGAATGCGCAAGAACAGTAACTGTCAAGTGCAGTTGCAGCAGCCACTTGATAAGCTTTTCCATGCTTACTAATCACTGGCAACCCAACAGAAAAATGGAACCAGTACAAACATGTAATTGACGCAACTAAATCAGTGCTGGAGTCTAGAGTGTACACCAGGATTGATTTGATGAGAACAAGGATATTTCCAAATTCCTAAATGACAAGCATAAAGCATTTGTTGAATGGCAGAATGAATCCGTTCCAGCTCAAAGAAAGATACATTTATGTACCCGTAGAGCAAGGCCCAGTCTGAACTAAGGAGAATGCAGGATGAGTGATGGGAGAGGAAAGCTGTAGAAGTTCAGCATTCTACAGATATAAACAACACAAAGATGTTCTCTCAAGACCGTCTATGGACAATCTATGACAGCTCCCTTGAAGTCAGCAGATTGGACAAACGAGGGAATCATACAGAGATGGAACACTTCAGTAGTTTACTCAATAGACCATCCATGGTCATTCAGTATGCCCTTGATCATTTACCCAACAAACCCATCAAAAAGGATCTTGCCCTCCCTTTATTGGTTGAGGAACTTATGAAAGCCATCAAGCATCTTAACTTTGGCAAAGCCTTTATGATAGTATTCTCCTTTTATTGGTTGAGGAAGTTATGAAAGCCATCAAACATCTTAACTTTGGCAAAGCCTTTATGATAGTATTCCATCAGAACTGTGTCAAGTAGCAGACCCCAGGGCCATTCAGGTGTTTCATGACATCTTGAGTAGCATTTGGGAGGAAGAAGAAATGCCACAAGACTTCAGAGATGCTATTTATTGTATCACTATTCAAAAACAAAGGCAGCAAAGCTGACTTCAAGAACTATAGAGCCATTGCTCTCCTTTATACAGCAGGAAAAATATTAGCGCTCGTTCTTTTGAACAGACTTCTGAACGTATTGAGGAGAATGTGTCTGAAGTACTGTGTGGTTTCAGGCCAGGTCATAGTAGTATTGACATGATCTTTGCCATAAGGGAAGTCCAGGAAAATTGTTTCTAGAAGATGAGAATTATGTATGCTGTGTTCATCAGTTTAGCCAATACTTTTAATATGGTCAACGTAGAAGGTCTGTGGGCTATTGATCATGAACTGGGCTGCCCAAGAAGGTTCATTCAAATCACCTGCCTGTTTCTCAAAACTGGCGACTTTTCTGATGGCTTTGAGATTTCAAATGTAATGAAGCAGAGCTGCAAACTTGTTCCAGTGCTGTTAACTTATTGGTTTGTCATCAGCCATGCCACAAGGGACTTGGCACAGGGGATATATGTTCAGTGCTGACTTGATGGCTCCCTCTTAGATCTTTGAAGACTAAGGGAACTGTGCCATGATGGCTCATAGACTGTCATAGACTCTCAAGATTTTTCTGAAGCTTCCCAGCTTTTTGGCCTCGCGATCACTCATGGGAAAATGGAGATCTTGTTCTAGCCAGCACCTTGTTCCAATGTCTCTGTGCCTGACCTCTTCATTGAAGGCACATATCTGAAAAATGTAGATAACTCCAAGTATTTGGGCAGCAGCATCTCAAGTGACAGTTCCTTAATAATGAAATTTCCTCCAGAATTAGTAAAGCTAGTTTCCAGTCCCACCCCCTCAACAGCAAATAGTTCATTCACACCCTTTTTTCTCTTGCTGGTTATCTGCACAGACACCATAGCATGGATCCCCCTCATAGATCTTGTTCATCATCAAGTCTTTATAATGCTGATGTTAACCTTGGTGCACTAAATGATGGAGTATGTCGAGAGCATATCCAGGGTTCGTCAGAATGAGGACTAATGTCAGGAGACCATGAATATGCTGTCCTGCGAAGCACTTGAGTTGATTGAATTGCAAATGCTGCCAGGATTTGATCCTCTGGACACAGTGAAATGCCAATTCTGGTGCTGAGACAAGCTCATACTGGTGGGACCTCATTGTGATGCAGGTATGGGACAATTAGCAGTGGCTGCAAAACTTTGGCATGCATAAAGCCACTTTCATGGAACTTTGTGAATTGCTTTCCCTCACACTGAAATGCAAGAATACCAGAATGAGATTCATTCTGACAGTGGAGAAGTGAATGGCAGTAGCTCTGTGGAAGCTTGCCAGATAGCTATGGTCTGTTAAGAATCAATTCAGAGTGGGGAAATCTTCAATGGGCACTGCTGTGCTATAAGTAGCCCAGGTGGTTGATACCCTTCTGACTCGAGGAAACCTGGAGGGCTTTGCAGAACTGGGGTTTTCTAACTGCGGTGAGGTGATAGATGGAATCCACATCCCCATCTTGGTGCCTGACCACCTTGCAAAGGAGTACATAAGCCGCAAGAGATACCTCTTGATGGTGC